TCTCTCTCTCTCTCTCTCTCTCTCTCTCTTTCTCTCTCTCTCTCTCTCTCTCTCTCTCTCTCTCTCTCTCTTTCTCTCTCTCTCTCTCTCTCTCTCCGTCTCTCTCTCTCTCTCTCTCTCTTCTCTCTCTCTCTCTTTCTCTACTCTCTCTCTCTCTCTCTCGCTCCCTCTCTCTTCCTTCTCTCCGTCACTCTCTCTCTCTCTCTCTCTCCTCTGATCAGCACGCCCTCACCTTGGTTGGGTTTTGGTCCTGCACGACCCAGGCCGGCCACTCTGAGAACCCGCCAGGCCGTAGCCCCCATGCATGCTTGATGCGTAGAACTTCTTACGGAACCACTCGTCTCCCTTCATTGCCACGTGACGCGTGTTGACGATAACGACCTGGTCACCGCAGTCCGCTAACGAGCAAGAGATCATCAAAATATGCTTACTCGGCTAATGAGCGACAGATTAAAACAATGTCGTGTGACACGTTTCACAGTGTACTAACAGAATTGATGAATATAAGGGCATAATACTTGGACTCTGAAATATCGTTTGATATATTTTCACATGTACTTACAGAACGGATGATATATCGGCTTGTGTTTTCCCATCAGGTATATCTTCACCTTCTCAGCGATTGCTTTTGGGTGCTGCCATTTTGCGTCGAACAGCCACCAGAACCGGCTGAACTGTTCCCATTGCTGAAAAATAAATTACGAGAACCACAAATAAGCGATGACACATGACCGCACATAATTACATATTTACAGTTGTATACGTCACATAGGTCACACTTTTCTATAGAAGGACACCTGTCTGTAAAGGCACACCTGCCTCTATAAAGGACACCTGGCTATAAAGGACAGCTGCTCTATAAAGGACACTTGGTCTATAAAGGACACCTGTCTATAAAGCCGAGAACAGGCCTGTCTATAAAGGACAGCCTGTCTATAAAGGACAGCCTGTCTATAAAGGACAGCTGCTATAAAGGGACACCTGTCTATAAAGGACACCTGTCTATAAAGCGACACCTTGTCTATAAAGGACACCTGTCTATAAAGGACAGCCTGTCGATAAAGCGAACCTGGTCTTAAAGGACACCTGGCTGATAAACGCCGACACCTGGCTATAAAAGTGACACCGTCTATAAAGGACACCCTCCACCCGCCCCCGCCCCCGGGCGGGTCCCTGTTCTATAAAGCCCGACACCTGTCTATAAAGGACAGCCTGTCTATAAGGACAACCTGTCTATAAGCCGACACCGTCTATTAAAGCGACACCTGGTATAAAGCGACACCTGTCTCATAAAGCGACCACCTGCTCTATAAAAGCGACACCTGTCTGATAAAGCGACAGCTGTCTATAAACGCACACCTGTCTATAAAGCGACAGCTGTCATAAAGCGACAGCTGTCTTATAAAGGACACCTGGCCTATAAGACACCTGTCTATAAATGGACACCTGTCTATAAGCCGACACCGTCTATAAGGACACTCTGTCTATAAAGGACAGCTGTCTATAAAGGACACCTGGCTATAAAGCCGACACCTGTCTATAAAGCCGACACCTGCTCTGCTAAAGGGACACCTCGGCTATAAAGCACACCTGCTCTATAAGCGACACCTGGTCTATAAAGGACACCTGGCTATAAAGGCACACCCTGGCTATAAAGGACACCTGGTCTATAAAGGACAGCTGTCTGATAAAAGGCACAGCCTTGTCTATAAAGCGGACACCTGGCTATAAAGGACTAGCTGTCTATAAACGCGACACCTGTCTCATAAGACAGCTGTCTATAAAGCCGACACCTGGCTAATAAAAGGAACACAGCGTTGCTCTATAAAGAAACAGCCTGCTCTATAAAGACACCTGCTATAAGGACACCTGTCTATAAAGGCACACCTGTCTAATAAGCACACCTTGTCTATAAGCGACAGCTGTCTAAAAGCCGACACCTAGGCTATAAAGGACACCTGTCTATAAAGCCCGCACACCTGTCTATAAAGCGACAGCTGTCTATAACAAGGACAGCTGCTCTATTAAAGGACACCTGGCCTATAAAGGACACCTGTCTATTAAAGGAACACCTGTCTATAAAGGACACCTGTCTACAAAGCGACACGTTGTCTATAAGGACAGCTGTCTATAAAGCGACACCTGGCTATAGGACACCTGTCTATAAAGACACCTGTCTATAAAGGACACCTGGCCACCCTATAAAGGACAGCTGTCTGCTAAAGGACACCTGTCTATAAAGCGACACCTGTTCTATAAAGGACACCTGGCTTAAAGGACTGTCTGTAAAGGAAACCTGTCTATAAGCGACACCTGCGCTATCAAATGGACACCTGTCTATACAAGGACAGCTGTCTATAAAGGCCCCACCTGCTCTATAAAGGACACTTGGCATCAAATGCATCAATTATTATGAGGGTGCGGAACGTCGGCCGGGGGGGCGTTACATTTCCCACTTTCCCAGCAAAAAAACACCCCATATCCCAAGTATTCCCAGCTTAAAATAAAAATCCCAATTCCCAGCTTCCCAGGAAATTATGTAGACATGTTTCAGGAAATTCAGCTAGTTTAGCTTTTCAAACACTAATATTTACATACTATAAATTTATCTGCGGCATAATTAATAAACATAAAATAAAAAATTAATACATTAAATAAAAATATTTAGCGCCCCGAGAAATTGAATATCCCGACAAATTAGACACAATTTTTCCAGATAGCCAGACAAATTTTTAGAGGGTCTTTCGCCACGTTTCCTGATGAACTTCTGTTCCGAACACGGAAATTTATGCTGACATTTTCCCAGTTCCCAGGGAATTAAAATGGCCAATCCCGCGTCCCGAAAATACCCGTTCCCCCCCCCTCTTATATACACGTTACACATTATACAGGTTTGACTGGCATTAACCTTCCCTTGTATACTACCAATAGATGATGGTGGCGTCTATACTGGTGCAGGTGAAAAGTGCGTCAACAATATTAGTGTGTAGTTGTTTCTAAAGTTGTGAGATCACATCAGTGATGTGATTGTGAGTGCAGGACGAAAACAAATTAAAACGGAAAACTGTATACATAGCAGGGAAAAAAAAAATTTTAATTTATTTTTTGGGGGCTACTTTTCAAGCTCGCGTGCATGAAAATAGCACTCTAAAATTTGGTTTGCATTGAAATCTATGCAAATTTACGGGGGCTCTTTTGCCATTTCCGGGGCTCTTTTTGGCATTTCGAGGGCTAAATCGTCCCGAGCCCCCGTGTATTTTTTTCACTGATACATAGTTCCCACGTATTCGGCAGCTGTTCATTTGTTTCTTCCGGCCGCCGTGATTCTAGAGAAGTGAAAAACATTTTTCGTAGAAGTACTTTTACCAGAGCTGACTGGTAATCTGATTTCAAGGGAGAAGGTGCAACGTGTTATGAGACCTGCAGTTCATCAGCCCCCAACAGCAACAAATACTGCAGACATAATATGTATATGCCAGACACCGTACAATGAAGAAGTTGACAATGTTGTTAGATGTGACAATGAAAACTGTGTCTACAGATGGCTTCATTTCACATGTGTCAACATAAAGAAAGCCCCAAAAGGGGTGTACTATTGTGCCGAGTGCAACGAAAGAAGAAAAACTTGTGTTCACTTAAAGTGGTCCGATGTGACTTGACGGACAATTTAGCGAGTAGTTAATTTCGCAGTTGGAGAGCAGAATATATAAGAGCATGTTCGCATGGAGGTTGTTATTTTCATGCATTGTCATATGTAATTGGTGATATATAATAATGTATAATAATAGGCACGTAGTATAATATATATATATATATATCGGCATCCGTTCATCTGCGCGAGATGGTGGATCTATATGCAGCAACGTATCACCTCTGGTGAGGCCACTCAGTTCATGCTGCACTTTCGTTGGCATCTGTCCTGGAGCTGTTTCAGCCACTCTGCATCATGATGGGTAATTCCAGCCCAAAACTGATGTGGTCATGTCCCCCTAGCGTCACCTTCCCCGGTGATATAGATGTATAATAATGTAGATAATATGTGTCATATGTAATGGTGGTATATAATAATGTATAATAATATGCGCATAGTATAATACTATATCAAATGAAAAGGTACAAATAAAACTAACTACAATATATAGAATTATTTCAAAAAGTTTTTTTCCATTTATTTTATTTATTTTCTACATATATATATACATAGCTGTGGGTATTGAAATTTCAACCGAATATCATTTACCAAGCCTGAATATATATCCTTAATAAAGCAATACATTTGTACATTCAGTTCTTCTAATTAAAGGAAACCACCGATTCACACATATTTGTTAACCCACATGCAACTGTTGCTATCTTGTCCACTACAGGAACTGCTCCCTCATCGCTAATCAAAAAGTCAACTGGCAGCTTTTCCTGTAACATCTTATATTTATTTCTTACAAGCCCAATTACCCGTTCTACATGTATCCTTACATGGGCAATTTGTCTTGTTGTCTCTACATCAACAGGAGATAATTGGGAACGCCCTTTTGTAAAACTCGGAATGTTCACTTGTGCACAACACAAACCAACACTATCGGCAATGTCAAAACCTCTATCGGCTAAAACTAGGTCACCTGGCAGGAGTTTATTCAATAAGCCACAATGCTCAGTGATATATTTATCACTGGCTCTGCCACCATACGCATTAGACAAAAATGATATAGAGCCCTGTGGTGTAATTCCAATCAAAAATTTCACTGTATTATTGTGCTTGTATGATGACCAAGTCTGCGCTCTGGCAAGAAGATTTTTAGGTCGCTGAATAAACACTTCAAAACAATCTATTATTACTGCTGTCTTCTTTCCGAAATGTTTCCTGAATTCTAGAGGCATTGTTGTCTGCACATGCAGTACTACCAAGAATGTCCTTGAAACTGTAGATGTTGATGTTTGAAATCGATATGCCAGGTCCTGTATAGGGAGGTTTAGCTTAATTCTCATGAGGGTCATTGTCAAACGTTCAAATGATCCTAGATTTGACCCTTTCACGCTAGGTATGAAGTGCACCACAAGTTCCAACAACGAAATTAAAGCCAGGTAACTAGGTAGACCCGTGTAGTACTTTACTTTCTCATCATTCCCCTCGAAGCTTTCTTGAGAATATCTAAATGAATTTAACTGAGACTTCAATGCCATATTCTCAGTCATGAGACGCTGAACCTCACTGTCAACTTGGCTCTGGTTGACCGGAATTGCGACTTGTGGTTTGGTGGTTCTGTTTTCCCATCTAATCGAAACGTACATGGCTTTCCACTGACGGATGGTGTTGCTATGTGTTCCGGTTCTGACGGGCCTTGTTCGAACAGATCTAGAAGAGTCCTAGCTGCGCTGTGCTTCTCTCTAGTTTCACTTCTTCCTCTTATTCGGTTGTACCTATCAATTTAAAGAACAGTTATTTTATTAGACCAAGTTACAGAGGTAGAAATTAAATTTCGCACCCCGAAGTTAACATATGTTTGTAATGTGTTCATTACACAGGAGTGTATATAATATAGAATTTAGAATTTAGATATAAAGTAAAGATATATAAGTACACAGAAATGTGTTCAACAAACAGATCATATATTCACCAGTCTATAACCAAAACTCCACAGAGCCACATACGTACACACGTAATAGTTCCACCCTTGTAATAAATTATTCATCTTTGTAATAAAATAGCCAGTCGCAAACACTTGACATGCCACCCTTTTATTGGAATTGTCTGAAGTTTGATACTATGGAATTATATAGTTTTAGAGCAAGACAATCTGTATACATACACAAGTACATATAAACAATACCTTTTTAAGTCTGTTTCCCCCTTCAAGATCTTTTTATGTGAGTTCCTTAGAGTCAGTGTGTCCGCAAGCAGCAATGTAGGAGCCCAGTCGGGATGTGAGCGGTCATACAGGTCAGCTGGTTTACCTACAAGAAAAAAACATAAATTTTTGTTTATTATTACTACAGAGACTCCCCGACTTACGAACTGGTTCGGTTCCGAGCGGTCGTTCGTAAGTCTATTTGTTCGTAAGTCGAACATATGTACGTACGTATATTGTACAGTAGTGTAGTATATGTACGTGTGAACATCGAGTAACCTAGAAGTGTACATAGTGTAAACATATATGTGAACACAGGAATTGGCGAGTCAAAATCAGGAGGGCGATTGTGTCTTTTTATTTACCAATATTGACATTACATACTAATGGATTTCAGGGCAAATTGTTCGTATCATTCATCGAAAGTTCGTAACTCGAATGTTCGTAGGTCAGGGAGTCTGTATACTAAATTATTTAATAATGGGCCATTTTCTTTTCTATGCACAGGCGTGTTTTTATTCTATCAAATGCAGCATTTCCATTGAAATTTGTGATCACCTATCAGACTAGCTCTAGTACTATAGCCCGCGTTCATAAACTGCCGCAGGACTATAGAACATTCTCTCACAGATTTCGTAACACCACCTGGTCCCAATTGGTTCCACAAAAAATGGCTCAGAAAACGCAAAATGATCGGGCTTTTTAACACTTATTTATCTACATGGACATCTCACCTATCTTTTTGAACACTTCCACAACTTTACACCATGTATTTATACATTTATTCCTAAAAGTCTTAGCACTACCTGTGTTTCGTTTTCAAATGCGGTTGCTCTGCTTATGTGTACACGCCTGACGTCACCCGAAATGTAGACAAAACACATGGGTAACTATATGATTCAGCCTAGTACATTTCGGGTGACGTCACGCGTGTACACATAAACAGAGCAACCACATTTGAAAACAAAACACAGGTAGTGTTTACAATAGTTTTACAATTTTATGTGAGTGAAATATGTTGCGTCACTAGATACATATTAATCGTGACTATTTGTGAATAAATTCTGTCATATATATTACAATTACAATACCTTTCACAAAATGATCCGAGCAGACCTTGGAGTATTTCGATGGTGCATTCTTCCTGTTTATATTTGCGAGCCAAACTCGACGTCTCTCTTCGCTCAAAATCCTCGTCTGGTCACCTTCATGCAGTCGGACAATAGGTATCGTGTAGAAACCACGCGTAACTTTGCCATCTGCTCTATTCCTACAACCTTTAATCCAGCAAGAGAGTACCATTTTTTTTCAAAATTGTGATTATCGTGTCACTCTTTGTTCACCTTGACCTGCTTACCAAACAATATGGCCGCCCACATAAAGTAACCCGGATGTTATGACGTCACATGGGAACTAATCAACTAACTATGTAATCGGCAATAGAATACAGGTACCGGTATTCAACAGAAAAGATATAGTTTTGAAGTTGACGTATTTTTGACAAACGTATAGTGACGATTGTGTTCATAGTTGATGGCTTGCTCGGATTTCCTCTGATCACCAAGCACATACACTATAAATTTATAATACAGGCAACAATTAATGTTATGTTCAATCAATGAACTTGGATTGGATCGTCGTTGTTTCTGTTTGTATTTTAAGTAAATATAGAAACAAATGCCCTGGCATTAACACTGCCGCTACAACTACGTTACCTTTACACGCGCCCCAGCCATTCGTAGCAACGATCAGATAATTAAGAGCCCAAACGTTTAATTATATTCGTAACACTCATGTGTGATGTGAAATATCATGACAATGAAACATGTACGCTGCCATTTATGCGAATGCAGCGCCACGGGGATCGTACGCTGAAAAGAGAAATGGTTTTTCATTGGTTGATGTAACATCGCATGAGCCGTCGGATGATGGCATTATCCGCGTACCCTGGGTCTGGCGTGCGTACACTGAAGTGTCACGCGTAGTGTGACACGCACAGTCGGCACGCGTCGGTGTACGCACGCCAGACCCAGGGTACCCGTATGGATGGAGGATGGAGTAGTGTACGTCATGTGTTGTGTACATGATCATGAACACTAGTGTACATGCATGTAAAGAACAACACAACTAAAACAAGTAAAGTTACAGTGTACAAGTAAAGTTAAGTAAGTAAGTGTTGTATAGCTCTAGTAGTAGTAGTAGTACTAGTAGTACTATAGCCCGCTTACAGCCGCTATTGCCGTTGGCCAGCAGCCACTGCATGCTGGCTGCGAGTTGGTTAATTGATACAAATCTAGTTAATTTTTTAATTAAATATTAATTAAGGTTAGGGTCACAATGGCACCATAAAAGTTTTATTAAAACAGGAGTTTCAGGCACGTGATTTGTATTAACCAATGGGATTTGGGAGGTATGCAGGCCCTAGCTCAGCTGCGATCGAGTCTGGCTTCTGCTGCTGCTGGCTGCTGGCTTCAAGTTCTACTGCTGTGCTGGCTTCGCTGCCAGCGGCAACTGTACGTGGGCTATAGTACTAGAGCTAAGTGTCGTAGTGTTGTACAGAGGTGATGTGTACTTACTGTACTAGTCGTTTGCTCTACCGGTGTAACCACAGGCACTTGGAACGCCTCAATAAAAAAAGGTAAATAAACACGAAATATATTTACTACCAAACTCTTAATGTTTCTCTACTCTATTTCGCCTATAATCACCTGTAAATGCCACTGGCAGCAAGAACAAGTCGGCACCTGCAGCTACAGCACACACGCGGCCATTGACTATATTATATAACAACGTTGTTATGTAGTCAATGGCCGCGTGTGTGCTGTAGCTGCAGGTGCCAGCTTGTTATTGCTGCCAGTGGTAAATGCCGGTCAAATGCTCATCTGCAACACACAAGTACACCGCACGCTAGCTGCTGCACACTGACACATAAATATATATTTATGTGTCAAATTTATGTGTCAGTGTGCGGCGGCCAGCGTGTGACAGTGTGTTGCAGATGAGCATTTGGACGGCATTTACAGCAAATTGTCCGCAATAATAGGTGAAAGAGAGTAGAAAAACTTTGGTAGTAAATAGATTTCGTATTTATTTACCATTATATTTTATTGAAACGCTCCAAGTGCCTGTTGGTGTAGCTCCTTCCCTGTAGCAGGTGCGAAGGGGCTATACACCGGTAAAGCTATATGTGGTCTTAAAGGGACAGTAGCCTCTAGGATTTTACTGCATACAGCTGTACTTACTGTATAACAAATCGTCTATACCCACACGTATTTGTTACCAGATACCTAATTTAATTGTTATAATTATTTACACAACAACGTTAAGAAATTTGAACGGCGCCATATGACACCCGTGACCGTGCTGCCACCCCGAAAAAGTTGCGTATTTGACAATTTATTTTGCAGGTTACAGACCGAGGGCCAATCACAAAAGTGCAATTATATTTATGCCTAAATGCTATTTAACCGAACAATATTCATTTTAGGGCAAATTTATCCATATCTTATAACTGAAACTATTTGTCGTTTATAAGATATTACAATCCTTTTGCTTTTAAATGAATAAATAAGAAACACCCTCGGTCTGTAGCCCTTGGTTGTAAAGTGGTTTTGCGCAATTTATCAGATCGTGCGCTTTGAGTGGCGCCACCGTCGTTGTAATCAAACTGTAGTCGTTAGTTTTAAAACATTTTTTAATAATATTTCTAATGGTGATCGAACCATGAAACTTTTTATGTAGCGTAATTATAACCTAAATTAGCTGGGAATAACCCTAGAACCTAGAGTAAACGATCCTTTTAACTTATGACATGCTCTTTATACCAATCGGGACAGTAAGTGAACATGTATCTAACATTGATCAATTCACAGGATGATATTTTCGGCTGGCCTGCTGCTTGTAACATGTGGAATTGTGTTCATAACAGTTCTACTGGTCAAGGTATTCAATTACAAGGTAAGTAAAGACGACTCAAAGGAACAGACGTGCACGCGCATTCATGAATTCAGTACGCCACTAACTCACGCCAAGTATACCTATTAATCTCTCTAAGAAGACCGTGGAATTCAATCTAATTATTTAATCTAGTGCCAACTATAATCAAAGCTCTCCCTATTACTCCTGCAGGCTGTGTTCTATTGTTCCCACCATTTTTTTCTATGAAGCACCAGAAAAAGTCATGTTACCACCAGGTGGCACTGTGAATGTCCTTGCTTGAAGTCCCATCAGGGAGGTACATTCCTTTTTTACCTGGGAAGAGTGGGCTTCGAGTCACGGTGCTGTAGAGAATATAGCACTCATTGTAGAGCAGTGGTTCTTAACCTTTTTTGAGTCATGGACCCCTTTGAGAATCTGGTAAGAGCTGCGGACCCCTCCCCAGAAAAATAGACATATGCACATAAACAAGATAATATTTATGCGCCTGGTTCACGGACCCCCTGAAGCCCATCCACGGACCCTAACAGGGTCACTGGACCACAGGTTAAGAACCCTTGCTGTAGAGGATGGCACTCACTATGTCAGGTTTTTTTAGGGTCTAGGGTTCGAGGCCTGGACCTCGGTCGCTGATGTTATGGCTATACTCAGGTCGCTTTGCGTACATATCTGCACTAATTCAGGGCCGTAGCTTGCATGCACCCTAAGGTATTTGCCCCAGATAAATGTAGATCTACATATTACAATTACATGGTCAAAGGCGGTCACCTTTGCAGAACACACCGCAGAGCACGCAGGTCGCGGGTCCATGTTTAATTTATCACTCGTAGGTGCCTAGATGGCGCATAAGGCAGAGATCGTCAACATTGTCGGTCCGCTGCTACTGGCCTCAGCATGTTCCATGACAGATAGATCACACATCTGCAGCTCCTTCTCGATGGTCCTTCTCTGGGTTTCCTTGAGTCTTCCCCTCCT